GACCCCCCCGGCCAGAACACAGTGTGGATCTGTCACAGCACAGAGCCCACCAGCCAGATCACACCAGCCACCGGCCTCACGGGGCTCTGCAGGGTTCACAGGCAGCAGTTATTTTTCTCTTTTTTAAAGTTAATTCTCAATGTTGCCATCTGAGTTCAGCTCCTACTCACCTTGCTGCCCATCTTGCACAGTTAGGATGAAGGGTTGGCCGAGGCTGCTGGTTTGCAGGCTGCCCAGGGGAACTCCATCTGTGACAATGGTGATGACGCGCTGCCCGCCGCTGCCGACCGCTTGTTGTAGGGCAGAACTGACAGAATCTGCTTCCACTATTTCCTCTGTCTTACCTTGAGGGGAAAAAAAAAAACAAAAAAGTGACAAAAAAACCCCCCCAAACAACCAAACAAGTCAGCGTTTCCTTCTCTCTTCCTTGAATAGAAACTGAAGTCTAGTGAAAAAGATCAAGTACGCAGCACGGGGCTTATGAAAACCAGTCTAGAAATACAGTCAGTCTTAGTAGGGGAAGGAAAATAAAATCTACTGTGCCTTGGTAAAACGAGGCTTCTAGAGTAAACCCAGCATTTTCTGTGTAAATTAATAAGTACTAGCATCCAAGGATATTAATTAAATTAAAAAACCTGGAGCTGGAGGCAGCTGTTGCTCTGCAAAGCTTCTTTCCATGACCCTTCCCCCCAGCTCTAACGGAGACAAACCACACACAAAAAAAAACCCCCAACCTCTTTGTGCCTCAAGAGCACGGGCAAAGCAACCACGAGAGGCTATTTAGTTTGGCTGGATGAGAGAAGACGGGTTGAAAATCCCAGGGACACATTTTGTGTGACATAACTGCTCGCACAAACAATCAGGATGGCAAACCCTGGGCTGCATCCTGCTCCCTGTGAGCGCAGGAAACAGAGGGGATCTGACCTGCTCCGCTGCCAGAGAGGAAAATACTCGAGTGCTGCAGGTCAAGGAATCAGTGGTGAGGGAACCAGCAGCTTAAAGAAGTTACTCATCTCTAGATTCCAGGAAAAACACTTAGCTTTAGGGAAAATAAATGAATCCCGAGATGAAAGGATTAGATAAAACCTTAATTTTATCAAATTTCTACAGCTGAAGTTAATGGAAGGTCAAACATTATATTCAATAAACATAAAACCCCAAATACAAACACCACCCAAACCTTTCCCATAAGGAAAAGTGACCGGAGTCTCAAGAGGCTCCAACATTTTACAGCAAGCTGGGGACAGAAAACATTTCCATTTCCTTCTTAAATATTTATCTACATTTATATATTACAGGAAATCCATGTTCTGGAGTGTTGGTTGGGGTTTTTTTTTTTCTTTCCCTTTTTTATGTGACTGTTAAAGCCTGTCAAGAAAAGGCTGAAAGAGTTGGGGCTGTTCAGCCTGGAGAAGAGAAGGCTCCAGGGAGATCTTATAGTGGCCTCCCAGTACCTGAAGGGGCTACAAGAAAGCTGGGGAGGGACTTTTCCTAAGGGCAGTTAATGACAGAACAAGGGGAAATGGGTTTAAGCTGAAAGAGGGGAGGTTTAGATGAGATATTAGGAAGAAGTTCTTCACTGTGAGGGGGGTCAGACACTGGAACAGGTTGCCCAGAGAAGCTGTGGCTGCTCCTCCCTGGAAGTGTTTGTGGCCAGGCTGGATGAGGCTTTGAGCAACCTGGTCTAGTGGAAGGTGTCCCTGCTGCTGGCAGGGGGGTTGGGACTGGATGAGCTTTAAGGTCCCTTCCAACCCAAACCAGTCTGGGATTCTATGACAGTACCCACTCCAAATATTTCACGATACTTTAAATCTAATTTAAAGCAAATTATTAAGCTATTGCTGAACCACTTTATGAAAAGAACAGCAAACAGGAAGCGATTTGCTCTGTGAGAAGGAGGGGAAGGCGTGCTGGCTGCGGGGCTGCAGGCGTGGTCGGCTTCTCAAGACACTCACAGACGTGCCAGGGTCCAGCTGCCGCCGCGTCGTGCACAGGGGTTGTTATGCACGTTCATTACCTGGTTTTCCATCGTACTGCAGCTTTTAAAACTTGCAAAAGCTGAAGGACATAGTAAACTTGTTTGCTATCGTGAGTTAATTACAGCACCCAAGCTGTTCCTCAGTTGGGAAAGTCTCCAGCATTATTTCAGAAACCAAATGTTTCAGCACAAGTCAGTGAACGGAACCTTCGCTCAAACCCAGAAATCGGCTGATTTCACCGCACTCGGCACGGAGGTGTTTTCTTCCTCCCCTCTCAGGGTCAGTAAGGGAAAAACCATGGTCACTGCAATGGGATATTGATTGAAACGAGATAAACAAGCCTCCTCACTTCCAAAAAAACAACGTTTCTTCCTCCAATTGACCAGAGTAACTCCTTATTCAAAGGCAGACTTCAGAAGAATGGAACAGGAAATTAACTAAACGGGCTCAAACTCAGTGCATATAACCCACAATTCTTCCTAAAAAAAAAGATCCTGGACCTCGTTGCCAGCGTAGATCAATAGCTGATAAGCACACAAAGGGAAGTTCATCTAAAGTTCCCCCACCTTAACCCTTGCAACCTTTTTTTCTCTCTCTTTCTCCTGATTTTACAAAGTTTATCAAAGGATTTAATTCTAAAGAACGATACTTTCAAAAGGCTGTGGGCTCGGGACTTTGGAAATAAAAACACTGCAGGTCTAGTGACTGTTTTCAGCAGTTTGTAACCAGATTTCTTCAGAGCAGATCGAGATAGTTATTCCCATTTAAGAACTTCAATCATGGAAGACACGGGGAATTTTAAGAGGGATGAGAACAATGATTAGCTGCAAGTGTTAATGAGATACTTTTGTTGTAATGAAGGCGCAGTCACTGATGCCCTCTTGTGGGAAATTAGAAAGAAAATATCTTCTGATGTGGCCTGGAGCAGGAGACACTGGCTGTTTCCACACTGATCAGCTACTACGGATGCTTGAAGTGTCATGGAAGGAAAAACCCAGAGTATTTGAGTCCAGTCACACGTGGACAATGAGCCAGTGCCGCGTTGTGGCACTGAAACAGGCGATTACGTCGCAGGATATACGAGGAGAGCGAGGTGAGAGATGGGGATTTACGAGGCCAGTGCCAAGAGCTCATCTGGAGCTCTGCCTGCAGCTGCTCACCCACATGTCAGGGATGGATTCAAGGGACTCGGGGCAAGCAGCTTGGTAAAACAAAGGCAGAGAGGGGACAGGATCAGCTTCCACATCAGAGAGAGGGAGGCAATGGAAAAAAAGAATTATTTCAACTAAAAAGCTGCGCTCACACCAGGAGAAAGTTCAAACTGGTTGGGAACGGGTTTAAGCTGGAAATGGCAGTTTTCTAACAGCTTTTCAGCAGGGTGCAGCCTCTGCAACTCCCACCCGGCTTCCAGGCAGAGCCAGACCCACCTGCAGAGGCAGCGATGCCGCCCACGGCCGGAGCGTCACTCAGGGTGCCAAAATCCTGAGTTTTATGCCCTTTTGTGTTTGCAGAATATCCCTGACTGAGGATGTCGTGTGCCAGTCACGCTGCATTTTCCTCACAGGTGGAAAAGGAAAACAGGGTCACTTTTTCCCCTTCTAAAATTAGGGTTTGGCAGTGCCTCAAAGCCACCAGCAGCCCCAAAAGTTTTGAGAGCGAGTGTGGAATGTTGCTGAAGTCGCTGTGGCCAAGCAGAGGCAGAGAGGTGTGGATGGGACTGCAGAAGTCAGTATCTGGGATTTTAGAAGCACTCTCTAGCTCATAAGCAAACATTCACGCATGTGAACAAGTCCCACTAACCAAAGCATTACTCACATGCAGAAGTGTTTGCAGGATGAGGCCAAACAGCTTCACAAAACCTGTATTTAGTGGCCTCCTTCAGACTGAAAAGAAACAACGGTTTGGATTTCCCCAAATACAGACAATTCACTTGAAGAGTTACTAAGAAAATGGGAACTACATAAAAAAGAATTCGCACTCAGCCTTAAGTGGAATTGTTTTCCCCAACGGAATAAGGCTCACAGAACAAGGAGGAACCTAATTATTTTCACCTAACACGTGGGACAGAAGAAATAAGGAGTAAGTTACACATCCCACAGACCTGCTTATTCTGCAGTTTCCTTACTCACCGTGTATATATGGCAAAACACCCTTTCAACTCTTGCAGCCAGTAAAGAACAAAGCAAACCATTCCCCAACCACACTGCAGCGCTCAGGATTTGGCACAGACAATAATTCTCATTATTCCTCTGTTGCAATCAGCCAGCTCCATTTTCTCAAGGCTCTGTGGCTTGTAACAGATCCAGAGCAGCCCCAGAGCTGAGCTCAGCAAAGCTTTGCCACTCACAACAGAACCATCTTTATTTACATCAGCTACAAATCTGCTTTGTTACCTTTGACAGCAAAACATTCCGGGGCAGGAAGCAGTAGCTGGGTGTGTTTGGCTGGATTTCACTTTTCCTCTATTAAATGGCCAGCTGCCCTCTACTGGTAAACAGTCTGAGGAACTTTTTTCCCCCAAGACTTTCCCAGCTCGAGGTCACATTAAAACCTTACCTGAGGTTGTTTTGGCGTTTGCTGAAGAGACGAGATTAGCGAGATTGAGAACTTCCCCTGGGGTCAGAAGAAACGGGGAGGTGAGAGTCACGGTGTTGGTGATGGGGTTTGTTCTCTCTGGATGAGGGTTTACCTGGTTCTGCATTGCTTCCTAGGAAAGAGAGTGGGGTCAGGCATCCATCAGTCACGCTTTCGGTGGTGTTTAGTATCCTCGAAACATTTTACAGACAGATTATTTCTCTCTGCAGCACGTCAGGGACAAAAGCTGTGACAAAACCACCCCCTAAACTTGGCAACACACACCACAACCACGCAAGATGGATGGAGATAAAACCCCAACACCCACCGAGTCCTAATAGGCACACACTGATTGGTGTGGAAATAAACCAAATCTCACCCACCTCCGTATCTCTAGTTCTCTTTGCAAACAGAAAACGATACAACAGGATCCTTCTCCCTCTAGCACAAATACAGTTGCCACTCAGAGAATTACCACCAAGTTCCTCCTTCCTCAACTTACCTGTAGCATGACCAGAGTCTCTGGATTGTTCTTGTCCAAAGCGATATCAAAAGCTGATTTATCGAACTTGCTGAAAGCGTGGACGTCAGCTCCGTATTTGATGAGCAGCTCCACGACGTCTGGGTGGTTGTGCTCTGTCGCCCAGTGCAAAGCTGTCATTTTCAGCATGTCCTTGGCATTCACATCAGCCCCGTTCTGAAAGAAATAAGCGTTACCTGTCCGGGCGCCGCCTCCTCTCAACAGCTTAAAGGTGATGCCTGCGCTGGTGCTTCCACAGGGACATCAACGCTACACTCCCAGGGTGATTTACACGACCCTTAAAGTGATACCTCAATTATCAGACTTACCCTAATTAGCAGTTCTACGATATGAGTGTGTCCATCAGCTGCAGCCATGTGTAGCGGCGTCCGGTCCACTTTTGTCCGGGCGTCTCTGCTAACGCCAGCTCGAAGCAGCACTTCCGCCGTGGAATAGTGGCCGTACTGGGCAGCGAGGTGAAGAGGCGACGTCCCAAGCTGCGTGGGAAGTTAGAAGAGTCACTTGTGTTAATGG